TGATTTCCCAAAATCTCCTGCTCCACTTTCCTTCCTTTCTTCCTTGGTTGATTAAAATTGCTCAGCATGCATTGCTCACCAACAGAAATTCTGGTGCTAATTCTGCTTTCAAGTTGAAGACCGTCTGTATACTCAACTCCGAGTAAGTGCATTTCACACATCAACAGCCTGTTCAATCACCAGGATTTGTTTAAGTCCCATAGATTTAAAAGCTGCTTTGATAATTTTTTCCCCCAACCTGGTGCCCTTTCATTCCGTTAGACTTCAACTTCCAAGTCAGCATGAATTCTTGATTTTTAAAATTATGATGAGGGCCTTGACATTTCAAAGTGTGGTATATTCTGCTTTTGGAAAAATGTTAATGTATTCTGTTCTGACCAGGACAGGAAAAGTAAAAGCATGCATCATTAACTAGCCTGAGACGAAGGAAGGAAGGAAGGAAGGAAGGAAGGAAGGGAGGGAGGGAGGGAGGGAGGGAGGGAGGGAGGGAGAAAGAGAGAGAGAGAGAGAGAGAGAGAAAGAAAGAAAGAAAGAAAGAAAGAAAGAAAGAAAGAAAGAAAGAAAGAAAGAAAGAAAGAAAGAAAGAAAGAAAGAAAGAAAGAAAGAAAGAAAGAACTTGTTCTAATCTAAACTACGGATCCTGTGAATTTTACAGCTGAAGAAGGATTTGAACTTGGATCTCCACAGTCCCTATCTACCCTGTGAGAAATAGTTTTCCTTGAGCAGAATGCTAGGCAATCCTCTAGATCAGAGGTCCCCAACCTTTTGAGCACCAGGGACCGGTTCGGTGGAGAGCATTTTTTCTGCGAACCAGAGGGGGCGTGGTTTCATGTGCTGCCCCGCTCAGGGGCAGGGCGACGGTAGCACTGGTGGGACGCTCGGAGCAGCACTAGCGCCGGCAGGACGCTCGGGGGCAGGGCAGTGCTAGCGCCGGCAGGATGTTTGCTGCTAGCGCAAGTGTGTGGGGTGTGACTGGCTATCTCTTCACGCGGCCCGGTGGCCAAGCGGCCGTGACCTGGTAGTAGGCCACAGCTCACAGGTTGGGGACGCCTGTTCTACATGTCTACTCAGAAGCTATCCCTCCTTATTCCATAGCAAGAGGCCATCAAATCCAAAGTGACAAGTGATGAGCCTGAGAAATAAACTAGCAACAATTTATATTCTGAGAGATCCTCAAACTGGTTTCCAGCCAATTCATACTTTTGGTCTCTTTGTAGCCTATATACAAATCTTACAATTAACCGGAAAAGAAAATTAATTTTTGTAACAAGAATAAGTTTGTGATATTACCTTGCAACACACGGAGAAGGTGCTTGGGCAATTCTAGAGGAACTCTGTAATAAGCAAGGAAATTCTATTTAGATCATAAATAACTTCAACTCATGTTTTTATTTACACAGAAGGGAAACACTTATTTTTCATGAACATTTATTTATTTAATCAATCAATAAATCAATCGATCAAATTTATTGGCCGCTCATCTTACCCCAGGGTAACTCTGGCTTACAATACTAAAAAAAAAAAACCACTATATAAATAGAATACAAGTAGTCCTCAACTTACAGCCACAACTGAGCCCAAAATTTATGTTGCCAAGTGAAAAATTTCTTTAAGTGAGTTTGGCCCCATTTTACGACTTTTCTTGCCACATTTGTTAAGTGAATCACTGCAGTTGTTAAATTAGTAACACGTTTTGTTCAATGAAACTGGCTTCCCCCATTGACTTTGGGGAATGGGGTCGCGAAAGGCGATCAAATGACCCCGGGACGCTGCGGCCGTCATAAATAGGAGTCAGTTGTGAAGCATCCGAATGTAAATCACGTGACCCTGGGGATGCTGCAACGGTCATAAGTGTGAAAAACGGTCATAAGTCACTTTTTCCAGTGCCGTTGTAACTTTGAACGGTCACTAAGTGAACTGTTGTAGTCGAGGACTAAAAAACTTTAAACACACTTGTAGCTCCCATGTTACACTGTTTCAGATATTTATCATTCACTTGGGGCAGGGGTAGGCAACCTTGGCTCTTTTATGATGGACTTCAACTCCCAGAATTCCTGAGCTAGCCATGCTGAGGGGAAAGGGAGAGTTTCCAAGCTGAGCATTGCTGGCTCAGGAATTCTGGGAGTTGAAGTCCACGAGTCATAAAAGAGCCAAGGTTGCCTAACCCTGACTTGGGGAAACCATTCACCCACTGACATAATATTGTTGGAACTACCCTCCCTCCCATCCTCAGTTGAAACTTTTCACTCTCTACCTTGAAATGTTCATTAAGAGTCCGGGAATACTTTATTGCTGTGTCCTTCTTGTAGCGAAACATTGCCATGTACAGAATGGCTTGGCAGCGCATGCTGTGAAAACACAATTGAACATGGAACACACGCAGCTGTTTAGAAACTATTGTTCCACGCAGTTGAAGATTCTTCACACATCGCAGCAAAGCAAAGTAGAAAGCTAGGCACTTTTAATATGTTTTTTTTAACTCAGAATGCTTAGAAACAGAACGCAGAGCCACTCACCAAAACACAATGAAGATTTTTTCTTGCGTCGTTGTTGAAGAGTCCGCAAAGGATTTTAATGTCATTATGAATCTACGGGAAGACAAATTACACTTATTTTTAGTTCCATCGGCATATGAAAACATGAGGTTGTGATGCACTGAACTAGCAGTCAAACAGAAGGTTAGTTTTACCGAATTGGGCAGATGGGGGGGAAATCCCCATAGATAAACAGTGAAGTTTTTTGGGATCTCCTTCCTAAATTTTATTACCTCTCATTTCATTTCTAATATCCTCTCCTTCAAATCCCTTCCCTAGTTCTGGCCAAACTCAAAAATAAAAAAGTTAATGGAGGAAATAAATAAATAGGCATATAGGCATAAAATAAAAAGGCAGAACAAGCCATGACATGATTATGAATGTCAGGCTTATTAATGCATCAGAGGAGAACTTTGGGGAGGGGAGTCTGTAACCTTACTGTTATATTACTTGACAGCAGCAAGAATGCTTTATGCCAATGTTTTTCAACCTGGGTCATTTTAAGCTGGGTGGACTTCAACTCCCAGAATTCCCCAGCCAGCATAGCTGGCTGGGGAATTCTGGGAGTTGAAGTCCACCCAGCTTAAAATGGCCCAGGTTGAGATACATTGCTTTGTGCACAAAAATGGAAAGATGCTTTAATTCCCACAATGGATGAATGGCTGGAAAAACAAATGAAACTAGCAAAGGTGGCTAAATTAACTGCTTTAATTAAAGAAAAGAAACTAACTTTGTTTCTACTTGGGAACCGTTTCCAGATTTTGTGTTGGGGGGGGGGGAGAGAAATGAAATGCTGACTTTGGGTTTTGCCGATTAGGCAAACTTGTTATTATAGTAATGGCTAGTACATGTTAAATATGCAAAAAGTAAAAAGTTGAGGCTGTCATGTTATTATGTTATTCTACTGAGCTAAGGAGATTTGAAGTCAATGTTTTTTTCCTCTTTTTTTCCCGTTTCCCCTACACCTCTTTCTTTCCACTTGTCCCTCCCCATTTTCCCACTATTTTCATTTTCATCTGTGTCTTATACATTGGTAAGTTGAATGAAAGAAATTATCAACTGCATCAGAGAAGGGGACTTCCACAAGCCAGATGTCTAAGTGAAAGCACATGGATCTTTTAATGAGGCTGCAGAGAATGACAATAATTGTGTGTAGGAGGATTCTCCGGTGCTCAAGAATCTACAATGCAGATGCTGGAATGAAGCCATTATCCTGATAACAGAGCCTCAAGCAGCTGTTGTGGTTGGGGGCTGATAGGAAAATGTAAACATGCATCCTCCAGTCCAAATTAATAGAAATTACTTTATCTTGCTCTTTTTAAGGATTAAGCAGGAGTGTGGAGTAATATGATTGGTTCTGAGGATTCACTTCACTATCAGATTCTTCAAAATATATACATTAAAAAAAAGGTATGGCTACTTTGGAGGGGAAAAAATATAGGAAGAAACGGATATTTAACTTTTTTTTAATGGAGATTTTGTCCAACAACTAAGCACTAACACTGCGGATAATTGCCCTTATTATTTAAACAAAACAAAGCAAAAGGAATGCAGCAAAGTTACACTAGCGTGTGTTAACAAAAGGAACAATAAACGGGGGAAATTTAACAAGAATTAAAATATGAGAGGGAGAGAAAGGAACTATTAGGTTTCTCACTCCTTTTTATACATTTGCTAATTTGCATTATTTAGACACCCTTAGAAGCCTAACTGTAAATGATATTTGCTTCCAACTACTTGCAAATATGTGAGTTTATTCCAGCCTTCACTAAGTAGTTCTTGACCTCAGTAGGTTTCTCCACTTTTGCAGACCTCCTGAACTAGAAGAGCTATATTTGGATCTTATTTGAAGTAGGCTTAGAGCTGTACTTCTTGCCTTAGCTTCCTTAGAACAGAAAGGAAAACATCATGAAAACTAGAAGGCCCTGAATATAAGAGGAAAAAATATCTAGAAGGGGAATGGTTTTGGATCTAGACATGAATCTAGACATGAATCTAGACAGGGAAGATCTGGTAACGAGATTCATAGGATAGGCCAGGGGTAGGCAACCTTGGCTCTTTTATGACGCGTGGACTTCAACTCCCAGAATTCCTGAGCCAGCTATGATTGTTTAGCTTCTGCCATTTCAGAGAGAAACATGGCTCTGAAGTAAGGTATAACGCAAGCCAGGACAAGCTTGTGACAGGTAATCAACTTTGAACCCACCTATAAGGAAAATACGTAAGGACATTAATAGTAGCTCACCTTGGCCTACAGCAGGGGTAGGCAACCTTGGCTCTTTTATGACTCGTGGACTTCAACTCCCAGAATTCCTGAGCCAGCATGGCTCAGCTTGGAAACCTCTCCCTTTTCCCTCAGCATGGCTGGCTCAGGAATTCTGGGAGTTGAAGTCCACGCGTCATAAAAGAGCCAAAGTTGCCTACCCCTGGGATAGGCAGAGAACAAAAAGGCTACAGGGCAGAACCGTGAACTCGGTGTGGAAACTTCTGAATCTCAAAGGAAGAATGTGAAGCCAGCAGGTATAGCCGAAACGGTTGTCTACTTACTTAATGAGGTCTATGGTTTCTGCAAACATGGTATAGGCTGGCTTTGGTGAGAGGGGATCCGATTCCATTGCAATGCCACACTCAATAAAGGACAGGGCAGCATCCAAGTATTTGAAGGCCTTCCCAACTTTGTCTGTCTGTTGGAAACAAAATGAGCATTGATTAAGCAACAAGCCACCCAGGCGAGGCACTTTTGCTTTCCTGGCATTCTTCCACAGTTTTGTATAGGCATCATAGTCAATGGTCATTCTATAGTTGTGGTCAAAGGCGTTTGAAAAGCACCAGACAAAAGTGATTTGATTCAAACATTATAGTAGACCTTGGGTGGCTTAAACCTAAGCCATTGGTTTCATAGAGTATATTAAGTAAAAAAGCTAGGAAAAACAGTATTATGAATCTAGCCACCTAGAGCTAAACTTCAATCTCAATTTAAAGATAATTTCTCTCATACTAGAACAGTGTTTCTCAACCTTGACAATTTTAAGGCATGTGGACTTCAACTCCCAGAATTCCACAGCCAGCATTGCTGGCTGTGGAATTCTGGGAGTTGAAGTCCACATGCCTTAAAATTGTCAAGGTTGAGAAACACTGTACTAGAAGAATGGAATACTTAAGTGCAACAGAAGACTCGCTAAGAATGAAACGCACTATCACTGGGACTTGTAACGTATTTTTATTCACTTATACAATTTTTATCAGCTTTTCTGGATGAAATGATATCCCTAAAGTGGATTTATAAAGACCCGTTCGTGTATGTTGTGAAGCATCCGTTTGTTTACCAATCCAGGTGGCCGTGATGATATTGTCCTTTGAATCTCAGTGAACTCAAGCCAGCACACTGGAGAAAGTATGGTTTCTTTCCTTAACTTAAATAATGTTTATGGAGATCCTCAATCCTCCAGCTCTCCAACTGGGAAGATGTCTTCTGAGTTTGGAACAGTGTGTGTCGCCTCCTCTGTCTTTCAACACACTATTTAATCTCAGAAGACAGCTTCCCAGTTGGAGAATCCTCAGTTTTGAGCTTGGAGTGGGTGTTCTGAGGTGGAAACATTTCCAATTTGAACTATTTTGCAAAGCTTTCAACTTGTTCTAGATCACAGAAAAAAACATATGGCAGAGAGATTTAATCTCATTTTCACGTCATAACAAGAGCTCTTTGAAGCTGATCCATGGTTAATTCTCAACGTGGGTTCGCTTTATCTAGCACAGCGGTTCTCAACCTATGGGTCGCGACCCCATTTGGGGTCGATCGACCATTTCACGGGGGTCGCCAAGCAAGGATGTCCGCCATTTTTTTCCCCCTTTTCCGGCGGGTGCCTTACCTCCCTTGGGCTGGGCCAGCTGGTGGTCGGCCTGCTCCGTCTCTGCCGCTTGCCAGCTACGCCTCGGCCGGCGCAGGGGGCGGAACCACGCATGCGCGGCACTCCCGGGCAGGGAAAGTCCTCGACTTACGACCGGTTGGGTACTCCTCGACTTACGACCGGTTTAGTCCTCGACTTACGACCGGTTTAGTCCTCGACTTACCCAGTTTAGTCCTCGACTTACGACCGGTTGGGGGTCGCGGCATTAAAAAGGTTGAGAACCACTGATCTAGCATTCCCTCAGGTTAACTGTACTATTTGGAACCAAGCACATTCACTTGCAACTTTTCTGCAGGCAAACCTACCATTGCATCAGCTTTGTGCTTCAACCTTTTGGCATCCTTTAAGTGAAATTCTATTGGATGTTGTCTGAAATACACAAGAGAAAAGTGTTGTGGTTTTTTTCAGAGTAGGCAAACATATTCAGATACAAATTTTATGCCAGAGTTTTGAATGAACAGCCCAAAGATCTCTAAATATTTAGTAAGCTTTTCTCAGTGAACTTATGAAATCAACCCAGCGGGAAAATAAAAACAAAGATGAAAACCCAAGCTGGTCTAATAGGCTACAAGAGAAATTGAGAACTCAAAAAACAACATGTCACAGCCGGGAGGAAAAAGAAAATATTCTTACCGGTGAGGCTTGCTTTGAGGCTTCATTGGCTTGGAGGTACCATTTGGCAAAGAAGGCACTGGGAAAGGGTTGGGGACATCATCTGCAGAGCCCTGGAAAGACGAGAGAGGAAGAATGACAAATACGTGTAACTCAGAAATAGCTACATACAAGTCACAACAGAACTTCTGCATTCTTCAGTGAGCATGCATTTTTGTTTGCCCCAGCATTACTAATTGTAATATGTGATGCATGTAACATGTGGTATGATAGGAGCCTTCCAGTAGTTGAGGGGCTGTCACAGAGAAGAATGGGTCAACCTATTCTCAAAGCACCTGAGGGCAGGACAAGAAGATCATTAAAGAGAAATCTAACCTAGAACTAAGGAGAAATTTCCTGACAGTGAGAACAATTAATCAATGGAAGAGCTTGCCATCTGGAGTTGTGGGTGCTCCCATCAGTGGAGGTTTTCAACAACTAGACAACTATTTGACCGAAATGGTATGGCATCTCCTGCTTGAGCAGGGGGTTGGACTAGAAGACCTCCAAGGTCCCTTCCAACCCTATTATTCTATATTCTAATTTGATCTCGCTTTTTATAGACCGTGAGGAAGCTTGTTCTTGGCCCTTGCAACGTTTGAATAGACGAAAACATTTTTAATCAACAGAAAAACATTGCACAAATCCTTTTTTTACAAATGCCCAAAACAGGAAACAACTTTGCATCCATCAGTGTCAAGGAATAAAAATAACCCAACATTATCTCAGTGTTGAATGAACTGCATATGGGGTTGTTTTAATTTGGGAGGAAGTGATGATTCACTTAACAGTGTTCTAAAAAAACCACTGCTTTAGCGACTAAGGCAGACAAATTTCCACACCAAAGAAATATATTATCTTCACAGTTGCAATCGAATGACAAAATTACATAAATGCAAAAGCTGAGGAGTAATCTCATCAATAGATAACTCTGAGTTATTTTATTCTGTTCGTTGGGTTTTGTTTTCTTGACTGCAAGAAAGCTTATGTTGAAAAAACAATTAGCTTTCCTTATCTCATGAGAAAGTCAACTTTGGCCAAGTTGTAGCTTTTGACGGAAGCCACACCATAATTAGAAAAAATCTTGTATAATTGGCCAAAATTACATATAGTTAAGCATATTTCATCTTATGATTATAAGTAAGATGCTTCTGCTAACCCAGGGGTGTCAAAGTGGCAGCCCACGGGCCGAATGCGTCACGCGCAAGCCACGCCCACCCCGGCTCCACAAAGGCAAAAACCGTCGTAATACGTCATGTGTGATGCAATAGAGTTTGACACTTGTGTGCTAACCATTTTATCTCCTGTCCTTTAATTGGTCCCAAGCATCTCAATGTTAAAAGTTCTTATTCAGCTATCATGCCACAAACCCATTGACAAACTTAAAGGCATTTATGCAATCATTAATAAAAGCCAGCTAGTCTGCTGGCCACCAAGATAACTTGAGTTGATTGAATTCTGAATAATACAGCAAGCAAATACATTACAATATCTCTACTTCTCTCTATATTTAAACAGTTCAAACATTCTTTTCCCATCTAAATTTCTGGCTGGGACATCCACTATGGAGAGTATACCTGCAGCAGCTCATCTATAGATATATTTTGATCCACGTAATTGTGATATTCAAGGCTACTTAGAGGAAAAGAATCACCTTCACAATACAGGGCAGTCCTCGACTTACGATCGCAATAGAGTCCCAAATCTCTATTGCTAAGCAACAGAAGTGAGTTTTGGCCAATTTTATGACCTTTCTTGCTACGGTTCTTAAGTGAATCCCTGCAGTTGTTAAGTTAGCAATGCGGTTGTTGACTTTGCTGATCAGAAGGTCACAAAAGGTGATCACACGACCCCGGGACATTACAACTGTCATAAATATGAGCCAGTTGCCAAGCATCTGAATTTTATTCAGGCGAATGTAGTAGGTATGCTGCAATGGTTGTGTGAAAAATGGTCATTTTTTTTCAGTGCCGCTGTAAGGAACCGTTGCAAGTTGAAAACTATCAGTACGGTGAAATCTGCCAATTTTTACAACTTCTCCTCTTAACAACCCAAGTTCCAAAATCACGTGCCTTTTGCCAGGTCCCTCAGCAGAAGTTGCTCACACCTACTTTGTCACTTTTGGAGTTTTCCAAAGGTTTTCCCTCCAGTTTCCTGTGCTTGGAGGACGACGGCTCTCGGTGGCTCTCTTTGCTCTTGGCAGTGCCGATACTGGGACCGGGAACTGGATAGCAGGCATCGTTTTCGTTCTTTGGCCGCTTCTGAGCTGTCTTAGGTGGCTTCTGAGCAGGCTGCACGGGAGACAGCGGTGGTGGCATGGGCAGTGGCATCTCTTTCCTTTGAGTCTCTGTTACCGAGAGCTTCGACATCCTAGGGAAGGAATGATCAGGTCAGTGTGAGTTCCAAGGAGTATTATTTTAAAATTGTAGGAGAGCAGCCTGGAATGAAAATTAAGCACACAGCACCCGAGTTCTGTTTACTCAATAAAAGGTACTGAAACAGGCAGATAACTAATCAACAAACATTTTCCTCTTGAGCAACAGAGGGAGAAAAAGTCAGGTACTTTTGGCTGATTCATTAACATGCTGATAATATACATAAGGGATAGCAGAAATGTAGACCAAGACGCATCTTTGATCTGAAGTGAAATATATTGACGAACTATAGCAAGGGTGTTAAACTCAATTTCATTGAGGGCCACATCAGCATTGCGGTTGCCCTTGGGGGGGCATGTGGGTGTGGCCAGGGTGGGTGTGACCTACTGGGTGGGCGTGGATGGAGTGGGTATGGCCTACTGGGTGGGTATGGCCAGCTCTACATCGTTCGCCCCACTGCCTGCCAAAACCCTTCCCCCGGAGCCCATCAAGCCAGATATGTGAAGTAGGCGAGGGCCATTTGCTGGCCACTTCCAGGTGATGGTGCATTTCTTCATTCCTCACAAAGGGTGACACCTCCCCAGCATGCACCCAGGGGGTGGGGCTGACGTGGCAGGGGCTGGTTCCTCGCTGTTTCCAGACGGCCTTGTGGAGCTAAGACTGAATGCGTTTCAGCATAGATGGCTACCACAACATTGTACATTGGCTCCCGGCCGGCCAGGGCCAAGGCAGCGGGGGCCGTTCCCTCACTGTTTCCAGAATGGGTTCGTGGGCCACATGAAACCACTTCACAGGCCGCATCTGGCCGCCGGGCCTTGTGTTTGACATGTCTGAACTATAGATTTCTTAAAGTTTTAAATTTAGTTGCAGCAAAGCTTGGTTCCAGTTGTTGGATTCAAAGAACTTTCCAGCTAATTTAGATATTGTAGTGGAGTTTAAAATTTTTTACTTTGAACTTCAGATAATCACTTTTGCATAAAACATATCAAACAGATGTATGATAAGTTTCATAGTTACATTTGGGATTATCCACTAATAATTTTCAGTTCCAATTAAATGACACAAATTCTTTTTTTTAATCAGCTTTTCTAAACTCAATACTTCGCTCATCATAAATTGCAATTAATTAACATGCATACATATGCACAAATATTAGAGTACTGTCATACAATGAAATGTTTATCCATACAAGTGCAATGATTAAAAAAATCTTGCACAAAGTATCCACTCAATTCTATTTTCAATGGATACCAGAGTTTTACAATGAATCCCAGATTATTTTGTAAGACATTTATATTTTACCTCTATTATAAAGAATACAAGATAATATAACAACTCTCTACACATAACACACACACACACAAACTTTTACCTTACCTCCTAGGGCAGTGGTGGTGAACCTATGGCACGCGTGCCAGAGATGGCACTTGGAGCCCTCACTGTGGGCACACGTGCCGTTGCCCCAGCCTTGCCTCCCCCTGCGACCCCCTCCTCACCAGCAGCCCCCCTGGAGGAGAGTCGCCCCCGAGCGTAACCCACACAGAGCAGCGTAGCCAAGGACATGGCAGCCAGGCAGCGTAGATAAGACTCTGCCCTCATGCCCCATCCTGCACAGTTGATGCTGTGGGGCGCAGGCAGAGGGCGTGGCCACCATGGTGCTGCTGAGCTGCCTGGGCGCTCTGCGGTGGGCCCTGGAGGCGGTGAGTGGCTCTGCGGGCAGGCAGGGTGGGGGACGGAGTGGGGGCAGAGCAGGGGCAGGGCAGGGGGTGGAGCAGGGGCGGGGCCAGTTTTTGGGCACTCGGTCTCTAAAAGGTTCGCCATCACTGTCCTAGGGAGCTAAAGTGGAGGCTGAGGTACACTGAGATCATTTGAATCTAAGTGTCCCCAGTCCAAAAATCTCCCCAGTCTTAATGCAGAAGACTGAGTCTTTATTAGAGCTATCACATTATTTTGTTTTGCACACTTCAATAGCAAATTTAAGGAAGTTGTCTTCAGACATTCCTCATGTTGTAGGACATAGGTAGGACATAAAGCTAGCCAAACTCAACGTTTTAAGTCTAGCTTATCATTTGAAAGGATTATTCATCACCAGAAGCTATTCCAAATGCTGTTGATCCGCTCATCTGGTGTTGAAGAGGGGAGAAGGAATGGATGGGACACCTTGTCCTTGAATATCTAACTCTCACTGCTGGCTGGGAAATTCCAGGAATCAAAGTCCACCCTCTTAAAAATGGTTGAAAAACACTGATCTAGGTGAGCAACCTGCAGACAGCTTGTGATGGAATAGGGATGGAAATAATAAAATATCTGTATGCATTTATTATACATACATGTTATTATAATACACGTTTCCGTTTTGCATTACAAACAGGAGCAGGAACATTTGCTTCCACACACAAACAGACCCAGCCTGGATTGCATGTAAGAGATTTAACTCCCCAGTGATTATCAATTTTATATAGTCAAAAAGACAAGTGTCTTATCTGCAACTCCTGAAATTTACTATGTGGTTCAGAAGAAATCCAAAGGAAAGAACAGTTTGAACATGTATTAACAGACTAATTGTTTGCTAATGTACAATTAATTTAAACAACCAGAGTTTGAGGGTTTAAATTTGCTATTAAGACAGAATTTCAACTTTAATCATATAGGAGTTAGATTTCTCACTTAGAGGCAGCCATAATAATGTTGTTGTTATCTTTGTTCTTATTGAACGATTAGTAGCCAAAACAAATTAAAAAAAAAAAAGAACCACCATAGTTCAATACAGAAGGGACCAGAGTGTTCAACTTAGTAGCCTAGATTTTACTAGCTTAGTTCTCTACGTAACAGCTTTGTACTCACTTAGTTTTACTGGAATCTTTATGGCCTAAAGATGAGGAAGATTTGGTTTCTCTATCCAACTTGACCTTCTTCTGATCAATTCTCAGTGCATCTTCTTGCTGATAAAAAGACAAATACAACCCTTAAATACTTAAGGAGGTGTCCCCTTTCTGACTACACACCTGTGAAACATGGAAAGCTGCACACCTGTGCAACATGGAGACCTGCACACCTGTAGCCACATCAGAAGCAACAATCAGTTCTACCATGACAAGCAAGACTAATAAGCTCAGCTGTTATCCCATCCTTGCTACTCCCCCTCCTTAAGAGCAACCAAAATTTTAGGGAGGAAAAGAAAGAGCCGAGGGAAGAGAAATTCAAAACAGCCTAAAGGGGAAGGCAAGGGAAATGGTCTCTCTTGAACAATAACTTGGAAGCCAGTTTAGTCTAGTGGTTAAGACACCAGACTAGAAGCCAGGAGTCTGGGAGGTCTAGTCCTGCCTTAGGCATGAAAGCCAGATCGTTGACTTTGGAGCTAGTCCAGGGGTAGGCAACCTTGGCTCTTTTATGACTCATGGACTTCAACTGCCAGAATTCCTGAGCCAGCATAGCTGGCTCAGGAATTCTGGGAGTTGAAGTCCATGAGTCATAAAAGAGCCAAGGTTGTCTACCCCTGGGCTAGTCATTCTCTCTTAGCCCAATCCATCTCAGAGGTTTGTTATTGTGGGGAAAATAAGAAGAGTGAGGAATATTAGGGACTTTCGCAGCCTTGAATTACTTATCATATAATAAAGGTGGGGTCCCCATACATAAAATAAGGGAGATTGGATGACTGCCTGATAGGACCACTACGCCGTAAGCTTTTTCTCACAGGCTTTATAATTAAACTACTGTACTACAGTCAGAAAGGTCTAGTGGCGGTTTCGCTGTGTGAGACCGAATCGTGGGTTATTACCAACATTATTTGCTTTTTATTGAAAAATACGGCACTTGTTACAATTGTACCGTTTACGGGTCACTGAGGCATAGAAATAAAATGAAAAATTTCACATGAGACTGGAAATCCTATCTTTGACGGAGCTGACTCATTCAGCAAACTTCATCATCCAGCAGGCAAGATTATAGAATTGTCATTCTTTTATTATTAGATTTTTTTTTTATCCCAGCTTTTTATTAAATAGCTCAACGCAGCAAACATGCCAAATAACCCTGTCTCTGATTTTCCCCACAATCCTGTGAGGTGGGTTGGACTAAGAGTGACAGGCCCAAAGTCACCCAGCCAGTTTTTCATGCCTAAGTTGGGACTAGAACTCACCGTCTCCTGGTTTCTAGGTCAGCCCTTGAACCCCTGCACAAAACTGGCTTTTAAGAAATCACGATCTTCGTAAATTATTAAAAATGACTGAGGAAAAAGAAGAGTTCTTACCACTGCCAAAATCAAAGAGTAAAGTAGAAATTTGTTTTTGCTGATGGTTCAATAAATCTCTTTATATCGCTTTATACGTATTTCACGAATAACGTTTCTAGGGAGTTTCAATTATATGTAGATGGGAACTGTTACGTGGCTTCTAACTTTAAGTGTACTGAAGATACCTAACATCTCAGATCCTGGGAAATGATACCAATCTCTGACTATGTACCATGCCAGTTTCAAATTCTGGAAGCTGCTCCACAAACACATCTGGAGGGAACCAGATTGTAGCAGTGTTTCTCAACCTTGACAATTTTAAGGCATGTGGACTTCAACTCCCAGAATCCCACAGCCAGCAATGCTGGCTGTGGAATTCTGGGAGTTGAAGTCCACATGCCTTAAAATTGCCAACGTTGAGAAACACTGGTAAAGGCTTTGGCTCCACACAGCTGTGGTTCCTCAGTTTAACTGGAATCAAATCAGTTTAATCAAGACAGTTGAACAGGAATCAAATGTGGAAGTAGGAGAAAGAGATTGAGATTAACTTGAAAATTGCCTCTTTTTACTAGGTTTCCTTCACCTTCCACTTACAAACACTTATTCTAAAATAAACTAAGTGACCTAGAAACCCTATCAGTGACTGGGATTGTAAGACTTGCTTATTGTGTTTGTTTTCAAAGTTTCATGTTGCACCCTTGCTCTAATAGCTTTTTAAAATTGAAATTCAAGATTTTAACGGAGTCCTCCTACAAGTTAAAGAGTATGTAAACTAGTACTTGCGTTTATGTGCCCTGAAACCAAACAGTGGGAAGTTAATAGTTCTTCATAAATTCTATATAGCTAAGCTACAGAATGTGTTGCCATAAACTGTGTCAATGACCATCAAGTTGGATATTTTTAAAGCTGAATTAAGTTAAATTAAGATATGGGCCATCTGTTGTCTACAAATGGTAGCTGCTGAGGATGCTAACTATGATAGTCACATTGGAGGTGTCCTCTCTGAGGTCAGAACTGGCACGAACAATTTTCACTGGGGGAACATACTAGTAACTAGTGGATTAAATGAAATCCTGATTTGATTCGGAAATTGATTTTAAGCTAATCTAACATGCAGCTAATTTTGAATGCTCTTTCTTGTACGTGCAGTCCTTGACTTATGATCACAACTGAGCCCAAAACCTCTGTTGCTAAGCGAGACATTTGTTAAGTGAGTTTTGCCCCATTTTACCACCTCTCTTGCCAATTTTTAAGTAAATCCTTGCGGGTGTTAAATTAGTAACATGGTTGTTAAATGAATCTGGCTTCTCCGTTGACCCTGCTTGACAGAAGGTTACAAAAGGTGGTTACATAATCCTGGGACACAGCAACCGTCAGAAATGTGAGTCAGTTGCCAAGCGTCTGAATTTTGATCATGTGACCCTGGGGATGCTGCAATCGTCAAAAAGTGTGAAAAACAGTCCTAAGTCACTTTTTTTCAGTGCCATTGTAACTTTGAATGGTCAATAAATGAACTGTTGTAAGTCGAGGACTAACTGTACTTCCTCAATCTGTAGAGAATCTTTTGAGAGGAGTCAGTCAGAATTGCACACACCACGACTATAAAAAAAGGATTAAAGTAGGCCATTTCCTCAATGGAGGGAAGAATGGAGTCTCTGTGAATTTACCTAAATCAGGGGTCTTCAAACTTGGCCCTTTCATGACTGGTGGACTTCAACTCCCAGAATTCCTCAGCCAGGCACGCTGGCTGAGGAATTCTGGGAGTTGAAGTCCACCAGTCATAAAAGGGCCAAGTTTGAAAACCCCTGACCTAAATCAACACTAGATATCTCTTTAACATAAGTCCAATAAGGCCAGTAAAGCCCTCACATTGATTACAGCTTTCTTCCTGTTGATGATGTTGGGTTTTTTAATTGCAATTTTATTTTTCTCTGATTTTAATCACCTACATGCAATGCAAAGACCAGAGCTGCAATCCCTAAGAGTACAAATTCGTGGATTATTAGCTTTACCTCATCTGGGTCAATGCTAGAGCCGCCCATTCTCCACCAAAGTGTCTTACCTTTCTCTTTTTGAGAGTTTTGCTTGGCGCATCTGTGCTTCTTTTGTTGATACCCTGCTTTGTCATACCATGGCTCTCTTTAAGTTCATGTTTTTTAGGGAAGAAGAGCCCCTTTTCGGGTGGCTGAGGGATCCGTGAGAGGAGAGCCAGCTCAATTTTAACCACAAGCCCTGGCGGGACGGGGCAATCCCTCAAGGGCGACAGCAACTTCTTATCCCTGATAGGCAAAATATATTTGTCCCTTTGAAGTTCCTCCTTGACAGTTAGAGATACCTTGGAGCCATTAGTTCGACCGGTAGCAACCACCCTCGGGCTCCCACTGAGAGGGCTGAGGGGCAACGGTTCCAGGGCGCTGCCCGCCGCGTCTACTTTTGCATCCTCGTGAGCAAATAATGTTTTCAGCGTTTGGTGCAAACCTTTGTGCTTTTTCTTCTCCGTGGTTTCCGGGGCAGTTGGTTTCGATTCCTTCTTATCATCAGATTTCGGCCTCCCTTTCGTTTTCACCTTAGGCTTGTCTTTGGAAGATTGGTCTTTGGCCCCGTAGGGTCCAGGTGGCTCACTTTCAACCGTCAGGCCTCTCTTTGGTTCCTCCTGGACTGTAGCTTTGTTGGATTTCCTGGGTTGCTTACTGCCCACCGTCTGGTGGTGAGACTCTTCTGGGGCTACAGGAGACTTTTGGTAACTGCGTTTGGTAGGGAGATGGACGCCTTGACTTGACCGAGAAACTCTGCTGCCAGTTTTGGAGGGACCGTCTGCCGTCGGACATTCCCTTTTGCCTCCATTGCCACTGCTAGAGCTGACAGTTTTTCCTTGTCCTTTGCTCTCCTGGACGCTGCTTCTACTATGGTCATCTTCCAGGAAACTCTCTGTGGGAGATACTGGCTGGTTTACTTTGATCAGCCAGTTGTTCAGCTGCCAACATCTGTTGGATGTTTGTGGATCAGGCTATGGAAAAGAAAAGAAAAGGGGGGAAAAGGGGAAAAAATGAATACGTGCCCAAGAGGTCATCAGAAATTGCATGGGATTCTGTTTTGAATTAACAATTTCTGCACTCTAGTTTGAACTAAGAGATTGATGACTCACCCAGAACCATGACTATGTCTATTGACTGTATTCCCAAGTTAACAAATACTGAAACAAACAAACAACAATAACAACAAAAACCAGAATGTCCCATCCAAAGATATCTTGCTTCCTCATTATCTTTCCTTATTGTCTCCTAAGACATGAAACACCTCCCAAGATGACCCTGGATGGCTCATAAAAAATATCATCAAATATCATCACAACCAGGACTGTTTTGTTATGTACATACTTATTATAATTAAAGGCTAAACAATAGGATATATATGAAATGTGAAATATAAAGAATGCTTGCTGGAATTGGGTATGTCTAGTTTAATGAAAAGAAGGACTAGGGGTGACCTGATAGCAGTGTTCCAATATCTAAGGGATTGCCATATAGAAGAGGGAATCAAATTATTCTCCAAAGCACCTGAAGACAGGACAGGAAGCAATGGATGGAAACTAATCAAGTAGAGAAGCAACTTAGAACCAAGGAGAAATTTCCTGACAGTTAGAACAATTAATCAGTGGGACAACTTGCCTCCAGAAGTTGTGAATACTCCAACACTGGGAGTTTTTAAGAAGAGACTGGACAACCATTTGTCTGAATGGTATAGGGTCTCCTGCCTGAGCAGAGATTGGACTAGAAAACCTCCAAGGTCCCTTCCAATTCTGTTATTCTGTTAAATGCAGAAATACCCTTCAAGTTTTTATTGGGGTTTAGTTTAGCAGTTTCCTCAACCGGACACCCTTCTAGATTCTCACGGTTGGGTCTGGGAAATTTAAGTCCTTATCTTCAAAAGACACTGATTTTGGAGAAGGCTGACCTATACTGTACTTATAGTGATAATGATTGATCTAGATTCTAAGATTTCCAAGGAGGTCTAAATCTTTCTACCTGACCACCCAATTTTGAATGGTTCCCTCTGTGTAGGGAAGATGATAAAAAAAAGGGGGGGGGGAAACATAGTCGCCATTCTTTTTTTTATTCTTTCCAGTCCAATGAGATATAGGAAACACATTATGTAAAGTTCTCTCTTTGTCTGTCAGTGGGATAGCTTTCCAAACACTGAACAGAATGGAATTCAGGAATGGGGGGAGGGGGGGGGAAACTGGCAAAAAGAAAGATTTAGTTTGAAAATAAGCCAAATTCACTGCGGAGAAAAACATTTCAGAATACTGTTTCTTCCTCAATGCATCTCAGTTCTAAGCCCCATCCACCTTTCTGGTCAGGAAAGCAAAAACACCACACAGACAGACAGACAGACAGACAGACAGACAGACACACACACACACACACACACACACACACAGTATTGTTTCATTACATAGGAAAAAATGCTTCCATTTTGACAAAGAGGTTGGAAAGAATTTTTTAATAACCTTAGTTTATATGGACATCCATCTCTAGTATATGACTTTGGGCAGTTTACAATTAAAAACAGAACCCCCAAAATACAATACAATATAAAAAGGTCACAAAGCATATAAAAATCCCAATAAAAGAATTCTACATTAGAATATTTGTTCCTAACAAGCTAGTTTTCTACGGGTAAAGAATCGTATTCATTTCTCGCCAAAGTAGGGGTAGCTTAGATATAGAATTACTTACTTGGCAAAAAATTACGTTATACGTGTCCACAATAAAAAGTGTACTCCACAAAAAAAAAATTTGCATCAATCCAAAATTCCTTCAACATGGTGCTATTCTAACAGGGCAAGGGATGGTGAAGTCAACTTTTCTTTTTGTTCCTGAAATCGTTTCAACATAGGACTGCTTTTAATTATAAAGCTGGTGCTTTTTCCTATTTTGATTTCCCAAGTAGGTCACTGGAAGCCTCCAAAAGTGAAGAAACCAAGCCAAGTAAAATTATATGGAGCCCATCCAAGTCCGGGGGGGGGGGGAATAATAACAGGAGGAGGCAGAACTTTGCTTACAGGACTGAATGTTCCATGCAAATTCTTAACTAACTTTTAAAACTTTTCTCAAAGGGTTATTTTTGAAAGTGAAAAATAAACACCGTGCTGCCTGTTAAATGCAAACATAAACCACCAAAACAGGGAGGATGAAAAGGCCTGAGTTCGAATTTAGAAACAGAATCGGGGTGCTGAGTAACCCACATACCCCGCACAGATTCGGGTTTGATCCAGAATCAGAGTAGAGCTGGAAGGGACCTAGGACATGGGTGTCAAACTTGCCACGTCACGTGATGCGTCGCAACGTATCGCGACTTTTTTTGGCATTGCCAGAGCTGGGGTGGGCGTGGCCTCTGTATGATGCAACCGGCCTGCGGGTTGGCAGTTTGACACCTCTGACCTAGCAGGTCTTCTAGTCCAGGGCTTTTCAACCTTTTCACCCATTGTACCACTTTTAGGATATGGCTACGTCCGACTACCACCAGTCGCCTAGCAAGGTGTCAAAAACTTGATGACCAAAAAAAAAAAAAGGGAAAAAAGTGATATAGTACAGGTAGTCCTCGACTTACAACAGTTCGCTTAGTGACTGTTCAAAGTTACAATGGCACTAAAGAAAAGTGCCCCCCAAGCCACAGCCGAGCAAGACACCTGCCTGCCCACCCGGCGGCGCCCTTCCTCCTGTCCGAGGTTTTCATTGCTGTGAGCATTTCTGTTGAGGATTGGCAGTGGGGGTGGGTTGGGGGGGGTGTTTGGTTTATATTCTCCCCCCCGCGTCTGCTGGGTGGTTGCAGCAGGTTTTGGTCACTTCACATGACCCTGGGACACTGTGACTGTCATAAATATGAATCAGTTGCCAAGCATCTGAACGTAAATCACCAGACCCTGGAGATGCTGCAACATTCCAGCTGATCAGCGCTTCTTCTGGGCTCAGCAGAAGGGCCAGGATCAGCACCGAGCTCCAGCTGGATCCTGGCACTGATCCTGGCGCTTCCACTGAGCCCTGGCAGCCCTGCATCTCCAGCCATCTCTCGCTCAGGCTTGTGCAGTGCTGCCACCGGTTCAGCTCATTCCCCTCACCCGCTACCACTTTTCTGGGATGGTCACGTACCACCTGCCAGGTGCCAATGTACCACAGGTGGTACCCGTACCACTGGTTGAAAAGCCCTGTTCTAGTCCAGCCCCCTGCTCAAGCAGGAGACCCTATATCTTTTCAGACAAGTGGCTGTCCAATCTCTTCTTAAAAACCTCCAGTGATGGAGCACCCACAACATCTGAAGGCAAGCTGTTCCACTGGTTAACTATCCTCACTGTTAGGAAGTTTCTCCTTAATTCCAGGTTGCTTCTCTCCTTGACTAGTTTCCATCCATTGTTTCTTGTCTTGCCTTCTGGTGCTTTGGAAAATAAGCTGACCCCCTCCTCCTCCCCTCAAATACTGGAATACATGAATCCAAATACTTAAATACTGGAATCCAAATACTGGACTCCAAATACTCAGATACTGGAATCCAAGTTCAAGTGATCTTTTGGGGATACCCAGAACCTGAAGGACATTACAGTTATATTCAGAGGATGACTTCGAATGCTTCCACATGATAAGAGGATATAATTAATGAGCCAAAGTTCAGACACACTGCCATTTTGTCAGTGCGTATAGTCAAGGCCATGGTTTTCCCAGTTGCAATGTATGGCTGTGAAAGTTGGACCATAAGAAAGGCTGAGCGACAAAGAATTGAGGCCTTTGAACTATGGTGCTGGAGAAGACTCCTGAAAGTCCCCTGGACTGCAAGACGATCAAACCGGTCACTCCTAGAGGAGATTAACCCTGACTGCTCTTTAGAAGGCCAGATCCTGAAGTTGAAACTCAAATACTTTGGCCCCCTAATGAGAAGGAAGGACTCACTGGAGAAGGGCCTAATGCTGGGAAAGATGGAGGGCAAGAGAAGAAGGGGACAACAGAGAACGAGGTGGCTGGATGGAGTCACTGAAGCAGTAGGTGTGAGCTTAAATGGACTCCAGAAGATGGTAGAGGACAGGAAGACCTGGAGGAACGTGGTCCATGGAGTCGCGATGGGTCGGACACGACTTCGCAATTAACAACAACAAAAGGTTGTTGTTAAAAGGTTTCTTTAAAAATGGCTTCAGATGGCTGAGTAACTACTGTGAATTTTTAATTTATTTATTTATACTTTGCATCTCTAGTCCATCTATCTCCATCAGGGAGGGGCTCAAGGAATTTACAAATCATAGCTGACCAAAGTGGGTAGAGAGGAATGCAATTACAGGATATGCAGATATACCACTGTGTGTCACATGTATAGATGTGTGTGTGTGTTTGTGCAATGAGACCAACCCCAATTAGCAACATTTCTGAATTAATAATCCTGTGTACAACTGTCTACCTCTTCTATTTACCTATGGAAAAAGTTTGCAGAGTGTTCAGTTGGTCAATGAAAAACAAGTCTTTTCCAATTTCCCTTATTTCAGTCGACAAGTGAAAAGGCCCCAGAATAACTGATTAATATCCTGACCCTATATTTAACTCTTTTTGAGGAACTGGCAGTTTCCCATTAACAGTAGTTTTCCTGAAATGATTGGCCTTGTGTTCTGTTGGATTGCAAATTCTATCATTCCTGATCGGCATAGCCAACAACCAGGAGATGTATTGCAGCATTTGGGGGGGGGGGGAGAGTAGGGGGGTATCAGGAAAAGGAAAACTCATTAACTCTCTCTCCTTCTGTGTAAATTCTAGCTGCAAGTCCTGATTGTTCCATGTGGAAGCCACAGTAATATGTGCTGGTCTTGCATGCTTACCAAAGGTAGTGTAGAAAATAGGAGATGGTGCAAAGCTATCTAGAATAGTTTTCCAACATGTTCTTGTACAAAGAGGGAGAAAAACATCAAAAAAGGAAATCACTGTCTAGATCAGTGTTTCTTAACCTTGCCAGCTCTAAGAGGTGTGGACTTCAACTCCCAGAATTCCCCAGCCAGCCATATTGGCTGGGGAATTCTGGGAGTTGAAGTCCACATGTCTTGAACATAGTAAGGTGGAGAAACCCTGGTCTAGACTAAGTTTCTCAACCGGGACTACTTTAAGATATGTGGACTTCAACTTCCACAATTCTTCAGCCAGCGTGGCTGGCTAGGGAATTCTGGGAGTTGAAGTCCATACATCTTAAAGTTGCCACAGTTGAAAAACACTGATCCAGAGTACACAGAGGACACATTTAGAAAATGGACACTGTACCTCAGGTGTCGAGACTCTTGTTGGAGGATCAGTTCCTTCGCTGTCACTAGAGCTGCTTTCTGATTCAGAATCGGAGGAACTGTCTGAATCGCTTGTGCTTTCGGATTCTGCACTGCTGGAATGAGCCAATGCCACACTCTCAGGTTGCGATTGTGGGGCACTGCAAACCAAAACCAGGGGATAAAATTAGAAATGGACGCGGATCGTCTTTCTGAATTCTCCTCTTCCGCTTGACACGGCCCTGTGAGGTGAAACAGTTCAATCAGCACAACTTGCAAACATGACACCACTGTTCACCAATCAATGCGAAGACCCAAGAATGAAGGAAGATCTTTAGTCAGGTTTTAGAGACTAAGAAGGACATGGCTAAAAATAAAGTAACACGCAACCACAAAGAGGGAGATTGCCATAGTTAGGCTGTTGGGATGATATAACTGCTGGCAACATAAGGAAACTCGAATGCTTTTAAAACCGAATTGCCAAAACATACTGCAGGCAGTCCAGGACTTATGATCACAATGTTGCTAAGTGAGACAGTTGTTAAGTGAACTTTGCCAACTTTCTTGCCACGGTTGTTAAGTGAATCGCTGCAGTTGTTAAGTGAGTAACCCCATTGTTAAATGAATCTGGCTTCCCCATTGACAATGCTTGTGAGGAGGTCGGAAAAGGTGATCGCATTACCACAGGACACTCCAACCCCAGCTGCAAAGCATCTGAATTTTGATGTGACCATAGGCATGCTGCAACGGTCGTAAGGGTGAAACATGGTCGTAAGTCACTTTTTCAGCTCCGTTTTATTTTCAGTGTTACTGAATGAATTATTGTACGTTGAGGACTACCTGTACTTTCCTGAAGAAAAAATGTCATATATCTGTATGCAAACCTTCTATTTTCATCCTTTTTCCCATTCTGTATTATTCCAAAGAAAAATTCTTCAGTGTGTGAACATATGGATGGAAACGGATGGAAACTAATCAAGGAGAGAAGCAACCTAGAACTAAGGAGAAACTTCCTGACAGTTAGAACAATTAACCAGTGGAACAACCTGCCTCCAGAAGCGGTGAATGCTCCAACACTGGAGGTCTTTAAGAAGAGACTGGACAGCCATTTGTCTGAAATGATATAGGGTTTCCTGTCTGAGCAGGGGGTTGGACTAGATGACCTCCAAGGTCCCTTCCAACTTTATTATTATTATTATTATTATTATTATTATTATTATTATTATTATTATTATTATTATTATTATTATTATTATTATTATTAGAAATAGATTTGGTTTGCTTAAAATTCAATCTTAGACATATTTATTCCAAATTAGGCCCACATCTTGCAGGAAATTTATTGAAACTTTGTGTGATTTGCATTCTTGCGAGAGCAATCTAGCCCCTGCGTCTATCCCAGGGGTAGGCAACCTTGGCTCTTTTATGACTCGTGGACTTCAACTCCCAGAATTCCTGAGCCAACATAGCTCAGCTTGGAAACTCTCTCTTTCCCCTCAGCATGGCTGGTTCAGGAATTCTGGGAGTTGAAGTCCACGAGTCATAAAAGAGCCAAGGTTGCCTACCCCTGGTTTATCCAAAGAAGAATTTTCCAGTCCTTCAAATTTGAAGTGCCAGGCATAGAAACATACATCACCCTACAAAGAATGTGCTGTACCGCTGATCCAAAGCCTCTCTTCTTCCTGAAGGATTTGGGTAATAACTAATGGGGCTGCACTCGCTGAGCAGATGAATAGGCCTTCATTCATTACAGCACATATTTAACAGAGCGTGTGTGTTTGTGAGCACATGTCACTTGCTCTATTCCTAATATACCGTCAGTCCTTGGTGGGAGTAAAAGCACAACATTTAATTTCTAACACTTTCTTTATCCAGTCAATATACATTTAAGATAATGGGAAAAAGTACTTTAATAATAATTACTTTAATGCTAAATAATTACATAGGGGGAGTGACAGCTCAGTGATTAAAGACGCTGAACTTGGCAGCCGGAGGCCTCTCCCAGCTGGCAGCCACCTAGCAGTTTGAAAGCATGCAAATGCAAGTAGATTAACAGAATAACAGAGTTGGAAAGGGACCCTGGAGGTCTTCTAGTCCAACCCCCTGCTCAGGCATGAAACCCTATACCATTTCAGACAAATGGCTGTCCAATCTCTTCTTAAATACTTCCAGTGTTGGAGAATTCACAACTTCTGGAGGCAGGTTGTTCCACTGATTAATTGTTCTAACTGCCAGGAAATTTCTCCTTTGTTCTACATTGCTTCTCTCTTTGGCTAGTTTCCATCCGTTGCTTCTTGTCCTGCCTTCAGGTGCTTTGGAGAATAGCTTGACTCCCTCGTCTTTGTGGCAACCCCTGAGATATTGGAACACCACTATAATGTCACCCCTAGTCCTTCTCTTCATTAAACTAGACCTCCCCAATTCCAGCAAGCGTTCTTTATATGTTTTAGCCTCCACCTATTAGATTAATAGGTGCCACTTCGGTGGGAAGCTAACAGCTTTCCATGTCCCTTTGGCATATAACCATGCTTGGCCGCATGACCACGGAAATTGTGTTCGGACAACACTGGATCCTTTGGCCAAGAAAGATCCCTTGGCCAAGAAACAGAGATGAGCATTGTGCCCTAGAGTCAGACATGACTGACAGGGAAACCTTTACCTTTTTTTTAATTATTAATCATTTCTAGAAAGGATGCTAATTTGAGGAGGTAAACTGTTGCTGTGGGCTGATTCACACCTATGGTATTTGTATTATAGGTAGTCCTTGACCGACAATCTTTTGTTTAGTGACCATTCAAAGTTACAGCAGCATTACAAGGGTAACTTAGGACCAAACCTCGCGCTTCTGACTATCACAGCATCCTCTAGGTCAGTGGTGGCGAATCTATGGCACGGGTGCCAGAGGCGGCACTCAGAGCCCTCTCTGTGGGCACGCGTGCCGTCGCCCCAGTCCTAGGCCTTCAGCTGGGTTTTATAAAACCTTTTCGCTTTAGGCCTCCGCCACCATGTGCAAAACAACAACAACGGTTCAATCAGTCAATTTCAACTTCTCACGGGAAAAAAAAAGATCTTGCAAAGTTGGAATTGATTGAACTTTTTAGTCCCACTGCAGCCACGCCCACCCAATGGGCCACACCCACCCAATGGGCCACACCCACCCGGCACTCGACGATGCATAAGTGGGTTTTGGGTTGCAGTTTAGGCACTCAGTCTCTAAAAGGTTCGCCATCACTACTCTAGGGTCACATGATCAAAATTCGGGTGTTTTGCAACGGGCATGTATTTATGATGGTTGCAGCATCCCAGGGTCACGTGACTGGCATTTGCAACCTTCTCTGCTAGTTCCGATGAGCAAAATCAACGGAGGAAGGCAAGTTTGCTTAACAACCATAGGATTCACTTAGCAACCGCAGTGATTTGCTTAACAAGCTTGGCAGAAAAAAGGTAATAACATCGGTGAAACTCATTTATACCAACTGCCTTCTGTAGCAATGAAAATTCTGGTCGTAGTCGTTAAGTTGGGGACTACGTCTTGTGGTTCCCCAGTTCAAAACCTGGATCAGCTAGATTACGTCAGGGAGAAGTTTCAATGAACGGAAGGAGACAACTCACAACTCATTGCCATGGGACAATTCAACAATTCAATTTAAGGATTTAAAATTATTTTTAAAAATAGTTTAATTTTTATCATTCACGTTTCATTTTTGTCCCTCTCTTTTCATCCTTTCTTTAGTGATTCTATTCCACCGTTTCTTTGATATTAGTGTAATTCTTGTCCCGCAGCAAGCTGACTGTGGAAAGTTGTCCTAGACCCTTCAGTGAAACCCACTGAGCCAGAACTTTACTATCCATATTTGTCATGTTGATAAATGATCAGAAACCTCAGCATGAGCTAATTACTTTATACACATTCACACCAACACACAGTCCAAAACAGGCTATGATCATTTTTCCAACAATAGTAAGCATTTGACTAGCACAAGTGAAGCAATGCCTAGCAGAATATCAAATTAGCTGAAAATGTTCCTATCTAAGGTTTACATGTTGAAACATGCCTTGTACTCAACCCAAACTTATCACTTCAGTTCACATATAATTAATGGCTTGTTTTTGAACTTCCCATATCAAACTGCTTGAAGTTATTCTTCCTCCTTACTCCATATTTAAATCATATTCTCCTTTTGTATTCTGAGATTTGGGTGTGTGGGTTTCTTTGGAGGGCTATAAATGTGCACGTACTTTTCTAATGTAAAATTTTAAAAAATGAACTTTTTTTTTTACTTTTTGCCCACCCTAGTGAATTTTTGCCTTGCTGAAAAGCATGATTTCTGCCAATTCCAGATCTACAGTTGAAGAATGTAACAGCTTCAGGGACAAGGTAATTATTAGTGTCGAGATCAGGCATCATGGAGCAAAACATTAGCAGTTGCTTAAACAACTTATTGGGAAATATGCCAAAAAATAATCTGCATTTGGAATCAATACTTTTATCCTAAAGTATGCTCCTCAAAACTTACAGTGTTTATATTTCTAATAAGCAGAAATGAATTTTTACAGATAAATACCCTCAAGTTCAGATTCATAGTTTAGTTGTAGAGCTTTTACTGTTTTGGCAAAAAAAAATATTTCAAGGTCTTTTGCCCTGTTATATGTATTTATTGGGATGACATCCTGGCTTTTCAGACACAGGTTTAGCTTTTTCAAAGAAGGCTTATGGATACAACTCAAGTAGGTTAGTTACTTTACTGCAGACTAAAATGAAGGTGTTATATGTAGTCCTCAACTTACGACTAATTGGGCCCAAAATTTCCATTGCTAAACAAGACAGTTGTTAAGTGAGTTTGCCCTATTTTACAAAATTTCTTGCCACAGTTCTTAAGTGAAACACTGCCGTTCTTAAGTTAGTAACACGACTGTTAAGTCAATCTGGCTTTCCCACTGATTTTCCTTGTCAGAAGATAGCAAAATTGCCAAGCATCTGAATTTTGATCACGTGATCATGGGGATGCTGCAATGGTTGTTAAGTGTGAAAATGATCATGTCACCTTCTTCAAATGGTCACTAAATGAACAGTTGTAAGTCAAAGGCTATCTGTACAACAAATGTACCTACTGCTTTTTATGAAAATCAAACTGTATATATGTGAATGTATATCCCAGGGTTTAAATGTAAGACTCTACCTGGTATTTCCAAGGCAACAAATATTTTGCCTTCTCAGGCTGAGATGTAGGGCAGCCGAGAGCCACTGACACTGGGGTAGCTTCACTCCTAATATTATTGAGAAATAAGCCACACTGTTCAGTTATTCTCAGTCAGTATTGTAGCTTTAGAGATGCTTGAGTTTCTTAAGAAACCACTTGAACCTGGAGGTTGAATAATTACTTGCTATTTGGATAAATTATGCCCCACCCATTTTTTAATAATAATTTGTATTGAAATTTAAGAATAGAAAGATAAAAAACTAATACAAACTAGGAGAAATATACAAAAGAAAAAGCACTGGAACACTTGATATGTTTTTTGTGGCTTGGAAGCCAGGAAGATATTTGCATATGGATGTAAAGCTGCTAGGCAGAATGTTATTCATTCGTTGGATGAATGAATGATACCGCCCTTAAAGGAAACAGAATGTAAAAATAAATATACTGAAGAGCAAAGATCTTGCAGTGTGTACATGTGTGCACGCTAAAATCCAGCATGGCTATAACAAGGTGTTTGGATATTATTTACAGGCTTGGCTAAGGGGGTAAATTGTCTTGAAATTTATGGCCAAATCTATGCTCACTCTCAGCATATTTTCTGAGATTCCGGCAAGAAAAATCCTCATTTTGTGATCAACTCAGAGCATTGTATTTTGTTCTGAATTGTCTGTATGATTGATTACCCAAGTATCATACACGTATACCCAACTATGCAAGTTTCCCCCCCCACAGAGTAGACCTTTCTGCAGTCTGTCTTCTTCCACATTGTACAGTTGTATTTTATTATTAAAAAGCTAAGTGAAAAAACATTTAAAAAGTAAAATTAAACATCACTGCTTTTTTTTCCCTCTCTTTTCGGGGGCTAAAGTTTTGTTTTGTTTATCTCCTGGAGACTTATTTCCCAAAGAGGAAGCAAAGATTGAATTGCTTAGCAAAATGCTTCTATGCTGCCCCCCAAGCTGCAACCCCAAAGCAGGAGGCAAGGGGTTCTGGGAAAAAATGGTTCCCCAACCTTTCCGGCTTTGTGGACAGGCAGGGGCAGGGGACAGAGGGGATGGTTCCATGCGAGTTGCCGGCAAGTGCCCAGTGCCATTTGTGTAATTGGCCAGCAAGTACTCCCACCACTTGTGCAAATGAAGTGTTTGTGCACACGCTCGCCTGCTGCTCGTGCAATGGGGATGTGCGGGCTTGCTCGCTGCTCCTACAGCCCAGTTCTGAACAGTTCACGGCCCAGTAATCAGCCGCGGCCCAAGGGTTGGGGACCCCTGGTTTAAACCTCTATTCTTTAACCTTGTGGATACACTACTTTATTGCAAGTGTTCACTGCTCAGTATACTTGCAATAAAAAAACACTCTTAATGCCCACAAGGAATGAAATGGATAGTATTCTGGAAGAGGCAGGGAGAAGAACAATTATCTAAGAACAGATCCTGATTTTTAAACCATATTTTACAGCAAGGCAAGATTAGATTACTTAGCAATATCTGAGACTGCTCTGAAAATAATGAGTATACTTCTGCATATGCATTGTTTCGAATTACCTAATTTTCCTCCACGGAGCTGATACTAGCTTACATAAATGGTACTTCATATCATATTTACTATCACCTCTGCAAACTGGCCGTTCAACGAGTTATTAAGGAAATACTGTTTTGCTCATTCTTATTATCACAGCCTAGAGGTCAAGCAACACAACTCGGTATTTTTCCAAGTTTAAATAAACTTGGAAACTTGGAAACCAACATAAACTTATGTTGGTTTCAAATCAGCCTTACAAATAAATATCTGTAAAAAGTTTAGCTTGTCTCTTTGAACTTTTCCTACTCTCTGAATACTTCTACAGAAATTTCTAGTTACACATAGTGAATGTTTACATCAAGCCTTCTTCCCACAATTTCCTCTTATTCTTCATAAAGAAATCGTACCTTGGAGGCGTTGATGAGGAAGACGGTTTATCAGAAACCTGAAAAAAGGGAAATGAACAAGAGAAAGTTTAGTTTAACCAGGCCATGTGGAAAATCAACTGCAGAAAAATTTAAATGCATTCTATTGTACTGGAAAGATTAGTCTACCCCAACCACGTGCCCTACAATTGCACTATGTTACAATTCTCAAAATGCTTTGATAGCACAGCACAAAGGTCAGGAATTCTGTGAGTTGTACACAAAGTTGGGGAAGACTGATTCACAGTTGAATATATATATATATATATATATATAGACATATATATAAATACTGACTTGGTCATCGTCGCAGTCTTCACTGTCACTGATCTCTAGATCTTTATGCAGTGTTCTGAAAGGCAAAGAAGTCATCAGTGCAGATCAATACTCAGACTTGAATTACCATAAATTTATTTTGGCAAATGCAAGCTTAATTCTCATGCAACCATCTTGGCTTTTGTATGCAACATTCACAGGTCAAGATTCAAAAGTTTTACCTTTGTAAACTTCCCAGTTTAGTAAAGAAAGTGTTCTAGACAAATTATGGTGGACACAGTAGTTTTTCAGAAAATGTTCTTTACGGAACACAAATTTCGTATTTGCACTGCAAAAATAAATAAAAATAAAACAAAAACCCTAACCCAACCACATACTCTTGAAAGCAAGAGAAATTCACGCTCCACTACTCACTGCCTAATAAAGAAAACGTGCCGTAAAAGAAAATCTACAATATACGCTCCTACAAATGTGATTCAGCAATGTATTCCTAAATATTGCAACAATTCTGATAGGCAAAACAGAATGTGCAAAATTAGTCACAACAATAAGCTATTTAAAGCTTGTCATAAAATGAAACGCGGTCATAATGTCTATGGTCAACCTAGTTTTCATTTATTGAAGTTTTGAGAACAGCTGTGAGCAACTGAGAGAAAAGGAACAATTTAATGATATGTAACAGAACAAATTAATAACTAAAAGTAGAAAATAAATTGTTCTAATTAATTAAGAGAATTAATTCAATAATACCTATCTAATGAATAGGAAAATATATTATATTTAAAACACTAACTCTTTCAATGCTACCTGTGAAATCATGAACATTTAAATGTGACATATGTAGGAAAACTTCAAAAAAATGCATAGCTGAATTGAGTTAAAATAAAAATCATTAAAATATCACCCTTAAGATGCTTGGGTTTCAGTTCTGAAAATATAATTAAAAAGTTCTTTGCTCCTTCCAATAACTTCAACACTGTGCTCAACGTGTTAATTTTGTTTTCATTTATCCACAGAAGCTGAAGACTATACTCAACTGTTCTCAAAATGCGGAAACCTGACCACTTTGGGGATGATCCCTGGCAGCGGTTTGCTACCAAACAAATAATACTTTTAAGAGCCAAGAGAACAAAGTGACGGATAACAAATCCAAATAAAAACACAAGAGATTAGAGATTCTAGATAAGATCTATTTATTTAAGCTTGCCAGCTGGCAGTCCTTTTTAAGTATACCTCGTCCCCCAATCCTGTGGGCGACACACATACACACTGAGTGTGATTGATAAAGCTTTGTGTGCCTTGTATTTGGAAATGACTAGAGTGGCTAGAATGTAGTCATATTATGGCTGAAGAGCAAGTAACGAGTTCCCCAGCATTTCTGGGGAAGCCTTGTATGTAGCATTTGTGGGCCTTACGTCGGTAATTGACTCAATTCCCATACACAGATTGTGGTGGAGGTTAAAACATTCCTCCATCTAACAGTGACTGGTATGTCTCAGGATAGTATCTGGATGTCCAAGGACGATTGTCTGCTCAAGTCCCTGTTCAAATAGGATCAACCAAATGTTTGCTTCAGTATCTTGTGACCTTATACCAAAGCAAAGGTAATGATATTATCAAGAAAGAGAATGGTGCATAAATACACATGGATGAGATGTAGGCAAACTCACACAATCACACAGAGAGAGAGAGAGAGAGAGAGAGAGAGAGAGAGAGAGAGAAAACAACATTTTGGAGGGAACAAAGAAGGTCTATCCATCTGTATCCAGGTTAAGTCACAAGTTTCCTGTACACTGGACAACAATTACAGACGGGTGGTGCTTAAAAGTTTTTAAGGCCAAGAAAATCAGTCAAATCATACAGAATTTTCGGGTGGCTATAAAGATTCCATAAAGATTCCCAACACTGGAAACTATTCATTAAAAATATTAACAGCTGTATTCCAGGCCCTCTGATGTATTCCCATTGTTTACGCTTGGGATGAGTGATGGCCCTCTGCAATAGAATGCGGTTACTTAAAATATTGACTTAAACAGAGATTTTCATCTTGATCTTTGACCTCAAGTATCCTGTATGATTATATTTCTTGGAAGAAAAAAACCCTGAAAACAGCATTTAATATTTTAGATTCTCAGATCAGCTTCTGAGAAGGTTAAGATTACAGTCACGTCGTGGCTGTTAAGATATAAGCCATCAAAAATAATTTGATGGGAAGAAGCCAGTCCAAGAATCTTTACATTATTATTTAATACTGCTTATGCTTCACATCAAAGAGCTTTCTCTTCTCCTGCTGAATGTCTTACCATCAATGTCTCTGGAAAGGAAATATAGCAGTGTATCCATATTAGAATAGATTGGTCTATGTGCAGTCAGAGAAATAGATGCAACCATCCAGAAATTCCTGCACTGCTGCTATAATACAGACGCTCATTCTATTAATACCCCTTCTAACCTAATTAATAGTAAAACATTATACAATTCATTAATTGTATAATACAAGTCATTATACAATCTCTTATCAGATCCGTCACTACAATACAAATGTGTATATGATTGACTGTTAAATATGTTTCAGCAGAATGGCTGATTTATAATCTTGATACTTTATATTAAGTGGGGATATTTTTTTGTGCTGAACACTGATTGTACCCAAACTATTTTTGACCACAAAATAAATAAAGACTATTTAAGAGACACACAAGCTTTTGCCAATATCAATCAAGGAAATAAACTGTTTCTGTACTACAGCATGAAAGAAAAGTGATTAAATGTTTTTTTTAATCCTTTCTATCAATATTTCTCCTTCAGAAGATAAGCAAAGCAGTTGAAATTTATAACACTTTGCATGCAAAAATCTTAGCTTTGGCTCCTGCCAACGCTAGGCAGAAAGGACTCAGCAAGTTTAAACAACTCGAGGCTAGATGTCCCCAAATTTTCTTTTTTTCTTTTAATAACAGTTTTTTTAGTAACATGCAGGCTGCCTGATCTATCATCATCACCATCACCATCATAATTATATTTTGCTGTCCTTGCATTCAAATCGACCAGTCAGACTTCAGGGTGGAAGGGTATTTGAGGGTCAATGCACCTTTATCTGTCCAACCAGGGAGGCAGAATGCAGATTAACTTGTTTCCCCCAAAATGGATCTTTTTATTTTTTATTTTTCACAGGTGCTAAAAAACAATCCTGATCATATGAAGTAAAACTGAAGCCATGAAGTTCATATTTGAAATGAGATCTGAAACAAGCCCTTCTTCGCTTCTTGTTTCTTAGTCCTCTGCCATACAGCTTATAGCGAAGGGCGTCTGCAGGATGGGGGTGAAGTAAAATTCAGGAGGGTAGCTGTGATTGTGCTATGGAAGTTCTACCTGTTTTACACATGGCAGGTGTAAAAACCACAGAGACCCCCCTGCCTCTACTTGCAGTAAATAATTATATCTATTGTATATTCAGTGGTGGGATTCAGCCAGTTTGCACCAGTTCGATAGAACTGGTAGCTAATTTTTTGTTGCCCAGGCCCAGGATGGACTTTCGGAAGCGGCATCCACACAGAGAACCGGTTGTTCATATATTTCAGTGATGGCAAACCTTTTAGAGACCGAGTGCCCAAACCGCAACCCAAAACCCACTTACGCATCGTCGGTTGTTGGGTGCCGAGTGGGTGTGGCCCATTGGCTGGGTGTGGCCAATTGGGTGGGTGTGGCTGCGGTGGTAACTGCAGACTGGGTGGGACTAAAAGCTTCAATCAATCAATTCCAACTTTGCAAGATCTTTTTTTTTCCTGCGAGAAGTTGAAATTGACTTGATTGATTGAATCTTTTTTTTTGGGGGGGTACAGCAGCGGAGGCCTAAAGCAAACAGGTTTTATAAAACCCAGCTGAAGGCCTAGGACTGGGGTGACGGTGCGCGTGCTCACAGAGAGGGCTCTGAGTGCCACCTCTGGCACCCGTGCCATAGTTCGCCACCACTGATATATTTGAATCCCACCACTGTGTATATTGCAGTCTTCATGGTGGCCCTACCAGATTATCCATAATCATATCAGACAAAACAATTCTGTAGCATTGGCAAGTTACTGAATAGAATTACTAACAGGGAAATCAGTTCCTTGTTTAGCCCTGATTAGTGTAAACACACATTCTAATGAAGTGTGGTCCTTCGGCATTTGTGTTGTACAATGAATCCTATTATGTAAAGGAGGAGATATATCAAGGGATTATGCCATGATAAGTAAAACCCCAGAAGGCAATCCTTCAGCTACATATTGAAGTTAATAATAAGATCCCCTGCATGAATGTTCCTTTTCTTCCTGATTCTATGGTATTGATTTCTACAAAACTATAAAACAAACAAGACACAGTTATCTAAGAAAAGGAAGTTAAAAAAGCCTGCAGAAGAATTGTGGAAATGTAATAGTAAAAGCATGACGTGAAAGATTTATGTCTCACGTTCTGAACTGGTACAAGATTTTTGCAAATTATTCTTCCTTTCTAAGGGACACTTGTGGTGGGCCCTGTGCATTTACCATAGTCACAAGTGAAGAAAGTGGAAGAAAATGGACAAAAATTATTTCATTCAATGAATTTACATCACTTTCAGGTTCTGATTAGACTTAAGACTTATTTTAATCACATTCCACTCTCTCATTCCATGCTTCATCAGTTCTCATGGGTGTTCTGAACTGATCTACAGACCATACAGAATAGGTGATGGAGTTAACTATTGGACTTCAGGGATCTGGTTTCATGTTGCCACATCATTCATTTGGCACGTAATGGGAAGAATGCTTTAATGAAACTTTTCATGAAGCATTAGTAGCGATCTTCCAAAAGGATAAACCACCATCTGCTAGGAGTTTATAACTGTCAAGGTTTTCATTCTGTACAGTGGACAGAACCAACTCCACAATTGGTCATCTTGGTTAATGGCAAGTAACAAACGCACATGACATTTGTTTGGTACATTTGGTTTGATATAATGGTTAAGATGCCGGACTACAAACTGGAGACCGTAAGTTCTAGCTCTTCTTTACATAGAAGCCAATTGGGTGACTTTGGGCTTCTCTCTTTAAGTTC